TTTCTGCTCCCATAACTATTTTACATCCTCAGAAACCCTATACAGGGTGACTACAAGTCAGAACTAATTAAATGGCACACCGCTACATACACAAGAATGAATGGTATTAACATTTCATGGAAAAATATTATTAAAAGGTAATGGAATTTTACATATATATGTATGTGTGTATGTCTAATGTGTATGCCTGTGGATTAGACATTAGAATGCTAAAGGCAAAGTCCACAGTTCAAATCCACCACCCACTTCATGGGAAAAAGATGAGGCTGTCTGCTCCCATAATGATTTACTATATATGGTGGTGGTGGTGGTTGTATGCCATGGAGTCGGTTCCCACTCATAGCGACTTTGTATACAGTTTCCATGACTGAAAATCTTTACAGGAGCACAAAGTCTCTCTGTCTCCCATGGAACCACTAGTAGTTTTGAACTGCTGACCTTGAGATTAGTAACCTGACTCATAACCTTTACTCTACTAGAGGTCCTTAGAAGCCATTTATAGTTTCTATTAATAATAATAGCCACTATGCTATTATTATTATTTTCATTAATAAAAGAAGTAGTAGGAATAGTTTCAGGATAATAAGTATCACCAAATGGATTTTCATTATCTTAAAGATTATGAGAGGGAAATGTATCATTATAAAAAGAACATGCCTTAGGGACAAAGCCTGCCTTAGAGAAACTCACGCATTCTCAGCACACAGGGCACATCTGTTGCTGTATGTTTTCCCATCTGTACCACAAACAGCTGCATTATCAAAGGTACAAAATAAATCCCCATCTCTTTCTCCACTCCTGAAATCAGCACAGTTCAACTGCAAAAGACATGATAAAGAAATATCAAAATATAAGAGACAAAGTATTCCGCAGAGACATAAACAGGTTAAAATGTAAACCCGTTACAATAGCACTCAAAGAAGAAGACAAATATTTTGATAAGATAGTGAACTAGTAACATAACAAATAATAAACCATAATCTAAAGCAAAGGATATATATACCCTCCCGTCTCCTATCAACTATTTCATTCTGTAACATTTCACATTTATGACAATAGTAAAAAAGCATAAAAAATCTGCAAACTATTTTTTGCATTAAAAGTGTATGCCTATCAGTCCTGGTGTGCACTGTAGGATAAGCACTGGATTCCTAACTGCGAAGTTGGCAGTTCAAACCCACCAACTGCTCCTTGGAAACGCAATACAGGGTTGCTATGAGTTAGAATCGACTTGACAACACTTAACAACAACTTTCATGCTGTAAGCCTAGGAATATATATATATATATTTTAAATGAAAATGGAATAAATGATGATCGTAAATGTTATTTCATTCATTCATTTATCCATTCTTCAAAATGTATTGCATATCTACTAAGCTTCCAGCATTCTACTAAATTCTGCAACTTCCTCAGAAAAATAATAATTTCTGAGAGTTAAGTCAAGAAAAAATAAACTTCTGAGTTCTGAGAGAAAGAGACACAACAAATATGACAATTTTAGAGTAAATGAGTATTATAAAAAAGAAATAAACTGAGTAATAAGATAATGCTTAGTGGTTGCTGTTTTGTTGTGTGTCACCAAGTCATTCCCAACTCATGTTGTTGTTGTTAAGTGCCATTGAGTCGATTCCGACCCATAGCGACCCTGTATAGGGTTTCCAAGGAGCAGCTGGTGAGCTTGAACCATCAACCTTGCAGTTCAAATGACTTTGCAGTCTTACGCATTAGCCCACAGCGCCATATCAGGACTCCTCCCAACTCATAGTGATCCTGTATAGGTTTTTCAAGGATGGCTGGTGGGTTTAAACTACCAAACTTGCAGTTACAGTCTAGTGTTTATCATGCAATGCCATACCAGGGCTCCTTAGAATGGGAGTTATTTTAAATATTGTGATAAGAAAGGTAATTGAAAAGATGATACTTGAGGTGAGGTGAAATTAATTAGGAGGAGACAGCCATCAAAATCTGAGCTATTTTACACGTCCACCACCATCACGAATTGCTGTCCACTTCATCTTATGGTGACTCCATAAGTAGATCTGTGTTCCATTGGATTTTCCATGACTGATTTTTCAGAAGCAGATTACTAGGCCTTTGTTTTGAGGTACCACTGGTCAGGCTCAAACCTCTAACCTTAAGGATTTGTGGTAGGAATTAGACTGTTCTGTTTGAGGAGTAAAATAATGTAGCCTGGAACTTAAGGATCAAGCAGGGAACTATTGTCTTTCCAAAATCACTTCTTGAGAAACTACAGAAGTTGCTCAGTTAGTTAGAGCTTGGGACAATTTACTTAACTTCAGATTATTTCATTTAACTTGAGACAATCACTACCATCTTCCTTCACCAGAAAAATCAACAACAGCATACCAGGTCACAGGTGTTGACAGGGTAAAAACAGGGCAGATCAGAAATCCAGCTGGGAGGTGATGATGAAAGGTGTAAGTATTTACTACTCCACCTCCTCCCTCTCCAAACCCTGAGGCCTGGTGGATCACAGCCTACAGAGGACAACTTCTACTAAAGCTGACTATTTGTGATGCCTGAAAGACTGGTTTCTGACATAATGGGGTATCCTCAGCAAAATCCACTGGATCTGGAATCTTCAACTCTGGGCCTTATTCTTTTCCTTATACTTACACTTACCAAGTGGGACACAGATTCAAACTTGATGTATGTTAGCCAATATACTTCACCAGAAAATACAACTAAAATCATTATGGAAACATGTTGTCAAAAATCTTTGGATATTCAGGAAAACTGTGTAAGTAAACACAACAAACTGAACAACAAACATATATCAACTAAAACAGAATTATTAGAGTGGAGAAACAAACTACCAATTGCTACTAAAAAGTATAAATGTGCTTGAAAAAGATAAGAGAAGAAACCTGAAATATGAAACAGGAAAAAGAATGTAATAAAGGAATAACAAGTTGCAAGTTTTTGATATGTAAGGTATTAAGAAACAAATAAAGCAATATAAGAATTAAAACTAAGATGGATGAAAATAGAGAGTATGTGAACCATAAGATCAAAACCCCTCCTATATGTAATGAAAAGGGAAGCATATTAAACAGAAAAGCTAAAGAATATATAAATTAGAAGTAAAAATGCCATAAAGGGGGGCAAATACAAGGGAAGAAGAAAAATGAACAAAATCAGAGAAAAAAATCTAAAATTAATGAAAGTGGAAGAGCAAGAGAAAAAGAAAAATATCTTTGATAACTCAGCTAAAATTCTAATCAATAATAATCAATTTTGAGAGTTTGGGGTTTTTAAGAAAATGAACTGAGAGCAGGCATTCTGGGTGGGAGGCGTTCATTCAGATATTGGCAATAGATGCATTGGGCATTAAGTGTTGTTGTTAAGTGCCATCGAGTCGGTTCCGACCCATAGCGACCCTGTACAGGGTTTCCAAGGGTGTAAATCTTTACAGGAGTAGAAAGCCTCATCTTTCTCCCGCGGAGCGGCTGGTAGTTTCGAACCGCTGACCTTAAGGTTCGCAGCCCGATTCGTAACCACTACGCTTGTTGTTGTTGTTTTTGTTAAGTGCCGTTGAGTCGGTTCCGACCCATAGAGACCCTGTAACACGGTTTCCGAGGGTGTAAATCTTTACGGGAGTAGAAAGCCTCATCTTTCTCCCACGGAGCGGCTGGTAGTTTCGAACCGCTGACCTTAAGGTTCGCAGCCCGATTCGTAACCACAACGCTAGTTGTCAATAATTAGAAATATGGATATTTAATTAAGGATAACCACTTTGTTGGTGTTGTTGTTACACGTCATTGAGTCAAGGATAACCATAATAAGAACAAAAACTGAAATGCAACTTTTATTTATTTATTTTGTATCTATTTCATAAGATTGGGAAATCAATACTGTTGTTGAGAGCTGTTAAGTCAATTCCTACCGATAGCAACCCCATCGGACAGACTAGAACTGCCTCACAGGGTTTCATAAAACATAATCTTTATGGGAGCAAATTACCAAGTCTTTCTACCATGGAAAGGCTAACTGGTTTAGAACTGTCAACCTTTCCGTTAGCAGCTAAGTACGTAACTATTGTGTCACCAGAACTCCTTGATATGTAACTTTTATATCATCATCAATGAAAAGCTTGCAGTAAAGTAGGAATTTTTTTTATAACTAAGTTCACTAATTAAAAAATAAAAGTAAGAGAATTAAATCCTAATGTAACATAACAACAGACGTAAATGGCTAGTACTTACAAATTAAAAGGCAATGCCTGACTGGAAGTTTTTAAAGCAACAAATGATGTATTGATTACAAGAGAAAAATGAAAAGTTACTCAAATATTGAAACAATTGCATAGAAAAAGATATACCAGACAAATGTTAATAAGAGCAAGAGTGTTAGTATAAATAATTGAAAAATCGAATCAAATTTGGTCCAAATTATATTTGATATATATATTGCAAAAGGAAGAAAAGATCAAAGAGTTATAAAAATCATGGTGCTTTTTTATATATATATGTCTAAAAAACAGAATGTAATAGAATTAGATAAATCAATAACTGTGGTTAGAGTCTTTAACACACACATCTAAGAAACTGAGAGATCAAGACAAAAAAGAAAAAAGAAAGAATTGTGTTATGCACAATAAAAATAAGAATCTTAAGCTATTCGAGGTTTATAGAAAATTACAACCAATAAAATAAAATAAGCATTTTATTTATATAAACTATTTTTAAAAATAGAATATTGGGCTAAAAGGAAAGTCTTGTAAAATTTCAAAGAATCAAAAATGATGTGATGCATATATTCTGATAAAAAATGAATTAAATTAACATTAATTAGCAAGTAAATAAAAGTGCTGCATATTTGAAAAATTTTTAAATGCATTACTAAAACTGGGAGAAAGAAAACTAATTAGTAGTTGGTATGACTGTCACGTGGAACTATTTCAAATACAAATCATGTGATAGATGATTATTAATATTTTCAAATACACTTGTAAGAACAACAAAAAGAGTTAAATATTAAAGAACTAAGTGTAAGGAAACTCTTTTTTTGTTCCTGTAAGTGTATTTGAAAATATTAATAATCATCTATCACATGATTTGCATTTGAAGTAATTCCACTTGACATTCATAAAAACTACTTAATTTTCTTTCTCCCAGGTTTTAGTAATGCATTTAAAATTTTTCAAATATTCAGTACTTTTATTTATTTGCTAATTAATGTTTAATTTAATTCAATGTTTTCAGAATACACTAAAGAAATAAGTGTAAGTCGGAGTCCTTTTGTGGCGCTGTGGGTTAATGTGTCAGACTGCAAAGTCGTTTGAACTGCAAGGTCTATGGTTCAATCTCACCAGCTGCTCCTTGGGAACCAGATACAGGGTCGTTATGGGTCAGAATCAACTCTATGGCACTTAACAACAAGAACAAGTGTAAGTCAATCGTTTTTAAATTAGCAACAAGATAAGCATAAAGAAAGAGGATTGAATGATCTGGAGAATAAAAACAACAGAAATGGCCAACAAGAAGTTGGGTCTTTAAAAAAAATAAATATGGTAAAAGCATAGAAGTCTTGGGGGTGTACTGGTTAAAACACTGGACTACTAACCAAAAGGTTGGTGGTTAGAACCCACCAGTGTCTCCATGAAAGAAAAATGTAGCAGTCTGCTTCCATAAAGACTTAAAGCCTAGAAATTTCTATGGAGAAATGCTACTCTGTCCTGTAGTGTCACCACTGTGTGCCATAAAGTTGGTTCCAACTTATAGTGACCCTGCATAGGGTTTCCTGAACTATAAATATTTGTTGTTAAATGAGGTCAAGTCAGTTCTGACTTACAG